TCTTGCACACCTGCCCACTCTGCCACAGCCCCGGCTTGTCACCGAGGGAGAGGTGTTGACAGCACCACACGGAGCGGAGCAGGTTCGCAGCTGAGCCGGGATTGCTCAGCTCCTTGGCAGGGAAATGACAGGGCCCAAAGAGCTCCTGTCTCTCCAAGGAAATCCTGCAGCGCTCGGAGAGACATCACCTGGATCAGCAGCAGGCTGCGAGCTGACAGAGAGTGCAAATACCACCAGAAGAGGTATTTGAAGAAGAGGTTGGCGTTGGGGAGCTCTCTCCTCATCCCTGCTGCTCTATGGCTTGGGGGGAGAGCCTGGAGCAGGATGGAGATGGAGAACCTGCATGGAAAATGGGAGCTGGCGTCCCTCCTGCTCAAATTTTGTGCACGAAAGACAGAAGACAGCCTGCTGTGCACTCTTGTGTTTTGGGACAGAAGCAAGGGCACCTCCCCGTGCACCCCCAGCCCCTGCCCTGGGTGGGTGCCAGGTAATCCCTGCTGGGGGGGTGGGAGGGCAGCCCAGTGAACCCAATTGTAAATACATCAGTGTCCTCCTTCTCCCTGCCACACGTTTAAATCTATTTGATCCACTCTAATGGATTGATCTACAAGTTTGTGCACACACATCCTGCTTTGGACGGGCGGCTGGCAGCGCCTCGCCCATCACGGCCTGTCAGCTCCACTCAGCCTCACCTCCAGCACACACAGAATCCAATTACAGGATAAAGGGTTTTCTTCCCCTCCATATGGTCTCTATAACGCTCTGGCTTTATCTTGCCTTAACCCCTTTCCTGGTGAGGGAGCTCCCAAGCCCGGCCTAAGCGGCTCAGTGCCGTGGCCATGGGTGGCTGCTATGTGATACGGGAAATGGGGTCTTCCCAGGCCACCCAGAGGCACATTCCTCCCTCTTTTCCTGCCCACTGGGGAGGAATGAGCCCCCAGGGGAGGGAGATTTGGGGCAGCACTGGTTACAAAAGCAGCCAGAAGCACAGGAGTGAGCTCAGCCATGCAGGCAGCATCATGCTCTTGGCTGGGGATCACGTCAGCAGGGTTCACATTCAGGTTCCTGCCAGCACCAGGAGCTCAGCACAGACATTCCTTTCATGACTGATTTGTTGTGGCTTTACATTTCCCTCCACCTTGCTCTGCCAGGTGCTCCCTGGGTGCCCCTGGGCAAGTGGCTCCTGTGGCTCCTGTGCCCAGGACAGGCACTGCAGAAGGCTCCAGGAACCCTCCTGCCCTGTGTGAGCTCTGCCTGTGGCTGATCCCTGTGAACCAGGCGTGTCAGCTCTCTGCAAGCTGGTTATTTGATTATAATTATCATCCCTTGCTTTACACAGGACATGAAAGCCCAGAGCAGCTCAGGGCCCCATCACGGCGCGCGCCGACAAACAATGAGCGAGACACAATCCCAGCTCAGAGCTCTTGGCAAAGCAGCAAAACCTGCAAGGGGCAGGAAAAGCCTTTTCTCGAGGACAAACACAGAGAGCAAAGCTCTCCTCCTGCATTAGGCAGGAATTTGGAATTTGCTGTTGTCATAGAGTCAGTACAGAAAACAACTGGGAGCTCTCCAGGAGAGAGAGCAGCTCATAAACTTTCCCTGCTAAGAGACACCAAATGAAAGCCTTATCTTTTCGAGGGTGCATTCAGGACACGTCCTGGAGGGACCAGCCACCCTCCCTGGTGTCATTTCCCTGCTCTGGGTTTACCCGAGGCCTTGGCCATTGCTCCAGCTGCCGTGAGCTCTAAATCCACCAGCAGTGACCCAAGGGGACACAGTGAGGACAGCTGGGAGGGGACAGCTCTCACAGAGCACAGGTGGCTCAGCCTTACCTGCTCCACAAAAATGCAGCTCCCAAAAAGGGGAAAGGGCCTTGTCCTTGTTGAAACCCTCTCAGTCCAGCTGTCCCTTTGAAAGGTGTCTTGGGATCACCCTCGAAGCCAAATCTCCTCCACACTCAGCTGCCAGGGTGACTGGAGAGGATCTGCTGAGCCAGGAAAGGTTCCTCTCCCAAAAAATGCAGCCCAGCACCCAGACTCAGTGTCCCTCTTCCCCCCACGGCTTCTTTTGCACCACTCCTGACTTTAGGGGAGGGAAGAACATCCCAAAGGGGTGCCAGGAAGGGATGGGGGGTGACAATTAACTTTCCCATGGGATACCCACATCCACATGCAAAACCTTGGAGAAGCACCAGAGCTTTGGGATGCTGCTGGTGCTGGCAGCGAGGCCCAAGTGTTTTTGAAATGAAATATTGGAGCTGAAGACTTGCTTTCACTTTTGAAGGTGGGCCATGGTGAAATATTGGAGATGGAGCAGTGCTGTCTCCCATGGGAGCTGCGAGGACCACACTGGAATTGAGATGGATGCACTGCTGGTTTTGTGGATTAGAATTTCTGGGATCTCAGAATTCACACAAAATTCACAGAATCACTGGGTTGGAAGAGACCTTCAAGATCATTGAGTCCAACCCAGCCCTAACACCTCCACTAGACCATGGCACTGAGTGCCACATTCAGTCTTTTTTTAAACACATCCAGGGTTGGTGATTCCACCACCTCCCTGGTCAGACCACTCCAGTACTTTATCACTCTTTCCATGAAAATCTTTTTCCTAATATCCAACCTAATTTTCCCTTCATGCAGCTTGAGGGATATCTCCTTTGATATTCAACTCATTCTGCAACAATGTGCTCAATTTTTGTACATCTCGAGCCTGACCATGGCCAGGAGAGGCAGGAAATTCCTCCAGGGAAAGCTCCGTGAGAGCCATGGAATTCCTCTGCTTTCCACTCATCCCCTCAAGGAAGACCTGGACCAGGAATTTGGTTCCTGGTGGTTTCACAGTGATTCCAAGAGGCCACATCCATCCCGTGGGGAGCCCTCGTCCCGGGGTGTTAGGAAGGAGAAGGATTTGACAGGAAGGTCTCACAGATATGTATGTACAACAGAAATATCTTTGAAGGTAGAATCTGAAGAAGGAATATAAATGATAGCAAGTTTTGATCTAGAAGAAAAGAATTGCTGAGCCAGTCTGACTGGGTAACTAAGAAGCCAAAGGGTAAAATGAGTTGGAAGGGGGTTTTATAACTTAGAGCAAAGGATAAATCAACCTCAAACAAAAGATGTTTTTACCGAACAAAAAGATTTTCACAGGCAAACAAGAAAGCCAATGTTGCAAGTAGAAAGAAAGGTCTCAAAAATTTCCACTGGAAGAGAACTGAAAAACAACTTCTAGCTTAAACTGTAACACACTAACCTTTTGTGATTGGAAAAATAACATGAATATGGTAATGTCAGTAGTTACACATGGCTATAGGTAATAGTAAAGGTATCGATTGGTTGTCATATTTTAAGATGCTCTGCAATGAAAAGTAAATAATGCATTGTAGCCAGAACTAAAGGCTGGGCTTGTCACCCACCACCCGTGAATTGCTCTATCATCTGCATACAATAATCAGCATTTTAAAGAGCCCCTGGAGCCCCACATCCCTCATTTCAGCTCTTACACCGGGGCACCTGAGGCTGGCCTGACCCATTTCCCTGCACCACGTCCTACTTCTGCTCCTGCTGGATCTGCACAGGCAGGTCAGGGATTAGGGCACCACCCACCCATCCATCCCAACACCCCTTAGCCTTCCGCTCCCAGCCTCCTCAGACACACTCCAGGCGTGCAGGAGACCTCATTCATCCCACGGGACAATGGTGACTTTTTCCATGGGCTGTGCCTTGGGGAGGGCAGCGAGGAGGAGGAGGAGGAGGAGGAGGCCCAGCTTACCTCGTTATCCGATCAGCTCCCTTAACGCCCCACATCCCCAGGATTAATGGAAGAGCTTCCCTAAGGCGCCTTAGGCAGCTCCCCTGGAGAAGGAGCACCCATGACCCAGAAGGAAGAAATGGGGAAGGAGAACTTGGACGAGATGGAGCATTGGCATTGGCCCTGGAAGGCCAAACCCTGGAAGGGTTTGCCAGGCTCGTGTGTGCTGGGATGGGGATCCCACACTCTGTGCTGAGAGCCTGGGGAAAGCTCCCTCCCATCCCTCTGCTCTCCCAGGCCAGGCTGGTCTCTCTGCACTCTCTGCAGGAGTTCAGGACGTCTTTACTGTCCTTTGTCCCATGGCACAACCAAGGGTATAATCAGGGTCACACAACCAGGAGCCCTGCTCCAAAATGCTACATTTACCAAAAAATTACCAACTGCATTACCTTTGGAATGGGAAGTGTCTTCCCCTCCTACCTTTGCCCAGCTCCAGGCCCTTGGCTGTGTCAGCAGAGCCTGGATTTGCTGTGAGATGGAGACCCCAGCAGCCCCCACACTGAACCAGGCACCCCAAACAGCCCAGCCAACAGCTCAGACCCACAAAGCTCAGCCCAGTCTTCCCCCAGTGACCTCCCCAAGGTCAGTGGGGCAGAGCTGGCCACTCCCCAGTGCCCAAGTGGTCTCACAGGGTCCTTCAGCCGCCCAGGGACACCCCAAACCTGTGACACGCTGTGGACCCCAGCACAGCCCCCATAACCACATCGACCACACCCAAACTCCCCACTGCTCCTCCCACCTTTGCCCCTCTTCCCAAGCGCTCCCCACCCCATCCCTTCCTGCCCCCAACACCTTAAACAACATTAAACACTTAATGGCAATTAATACGCTTTAATGCAGGTTTTGGGGCCAACTGGCCGCTTAGAGGGTGCTTAAACCATCAACCCCTCTCAATCCCGTTGCCCTTGTCACACAAAGTTAGCCGAGCCCCTCGTCAGCCTGCCCCCTCCCTCCAGGAGGCCGGAGGGTATAAAACCACCCCGGGGCACGGCACCGCCAGCCCCCGGCGCGGCACAGGGCAGGGCACCACCTCCATCCCCTCAACTTCTGCTGCTCCTTGTAATTCCTTCATATTTTAGATCGGAGGGGAATCCTCTCACTGCGCTTGGGAGGGGGTGGGGCTTCCCTTTTTTCATCAATCGGGGTGGGAACACAATTCGTTGCAGAAAAACCCCCCTCCGGCAGAGCAGCTCCCGTAGCGAGGGCAGGATGAACGGGACGGAGGGGATCAATTTTTACGTGCCTATGTCCAACAAGACGGGGGTGGTGCGGAGCCCCTTCGAGTACCCGCAGTACTACCTGGCCGAGCCCTGGAAATACCGCCTCGTGTGCTGCTACATCTTCTTCCTCATCTCCACCGGCTTCCCCATCAACTTCCTCACCCTCCTGGTCACCTTCAAGCACAAGAAGCTCCGGCAGCCCCTCAATTACATCCTGGTCAACCTGGCTGTGGCTGATCTGTGCATGGCCTGCTTTGGCTTCACCGTCACCTTCTACACCGCCTGGAACGGCTACTTCGTGTTCGGCCCCATCGGCTGCGCCGTGGAGGGGTTCTTTGCCACGCTGGGAGGTAAGGGCTGGCACTGGGGGCTTGGGGCTTCCTTCTGCAGGGCTTTGGGAGTCTGGTTTCCATCCCTTCGTGGCACTCTTGGGGTGTGCAGCATCGTTTCTCCTCACTTTGGGACTTGCTCTGCATTTGAAACTGGAGAGGAGAACAGATTTCTGAGGGTTTGATCTCGATAGAAAGAGACCTCATGGTATCATGGCAGGGAAAAGAAGCTTGGGAAGGGATCCTCGTTTGCAGAATCCAGGCTGGGGTCACCTGGCCCTGCTGGTCACTGGGGGTGTCACACCAAGGTGGTTACCAGAGACCTGCCAGGGGCAACCTGGTTGTTCCCAGATCAATGCCAAGCACAGGCTTGGACTTGATCACCTTAGAGGTCTTCTCCCAACCTTCATGATTCCATGATTATTCCTTTGCCTGAAGGCTTCACTTTTTGGGGAAAGGGGGAGTTTATAAGGGGAAGAGAAATCCCTCAGGAAGGGAACCAACCCCACGGAAGAGCTACAGGCATGGAGAGATGAGAGGGCTCAGAGCTTATCCAGGGGCAAAAGGAAGGGGAAGAAGATCCAGGATCCAGGGTGGTTCCCAGGCTCTGCAGGGATGGCTCAGCTCTGTCCCAGCTGCACAAGATTTGAGCGCCCTTGGGATTTTCCTTGAGGCATTTCTCAGGGACAACAACACTTTGCCCTGCAGAAAAACAAGGAAAATTCACTCGGCAGCCGGAGCCCACACAGCCAGCCCTGCCCACACCACACCTCATGATGGATCTGACAGCAAACAGTCCTTGTTGGAGACACCTAGAGCCACCACAGGGACTTGGCTTTCATTCCCCTAAACAAGGCCATTTCCCACAGTGATGCTGCTCTGAAAATACACATTTTTAAAATATGGATATCCTGCCAAAGGCACAGCTGAATGCCCTGATCCAAGCCAAGGAGCAAGGAAAGGCTTGGGTTTGGGGTCAGAAGATCCCATCCCTGCTCAATGAGCCTCATTTTGCCTTTCCAATGTTTGTACCTCTCAGAGGAGGAGGAGGCTCCTGTTCCCAGGGAAGGAAGTTGGCTGGGAAGCAGCGGCTGTGCGAGCAGCAGGTCCCCAGCGAATCCCAGCACAGGGTGTCGTTATCAGCAGCTTATCACAGCTGGGGGCATTAGCAGGCTTACAGCACCGACTAAACGCTCCCAAATCCCCTGAAGTTTAATTATCCCTCAGAAATACATGTGCACGTTTGCCCACCCACACCGCCCTCCCCACGCCTCCCCCTGTTCCAGCGCCAGCAGAAGGCTGGTGAAATGCACATTTAAAGGAAATCAACAGGTTTGGAGGCATCTGGCAGCATTGCTTGGAATTGTGCTTCCCCACGCCCAGGTGGGATTCACCCCCTTGATTCTTAATGTATTAAAACCCCCACGGTGATTCCTCCTCCACCCCCAGCATCCTCTCCCCGAGCTTCTGCACGTTACAAGTGGAGGATTCCCAGTTTTTTAGCAGGATGCTGCTTCTCCCATGCTGATCCCCTCCTCTGGAAGCACCAAAGTGGAACCCAGAGGAGCTCTGACCTCTCCGTGGGCTCTCCCTCTCCTCCCTCCAGGCCAGGTCGCCCTGTGGTCCCTGGTTGTCCTGGCCATCGAGCGCTACATCGTCATCTGCAAGCCCATGGGCAACTTCCGCTTCTCCGCCAGCCACGCCTTGATGGGCATCGCCTTCACCTGGGTCATGGCCATCTCCTGCGCCGCCCCGCCGCTCTTCGGCTGGTCCAGGTGAGTCCAGGGATCCCCAGAAGCAGCTCCCAGATCCCTCCATCCGTGCAGGGTCCTGGCAGGGGAGTGCTCGGCCTCAGAGGAGGGAAATGAATGTCCCGTTAGTGTCACAGCGAGCACCCACACCACATGTGCCACCTTTGCAGCATCCCCCATCCTCAGGGAATTCCGTCCCTGTTGCCCCCAAGGAGCAGATCTGTCGCTGTTTGCTGTATAATTAGCAATGAACACACAGCAACATGGTCTCCTTTCAAAACAGGAAAGGGACAAGTTTATTGTGACACACATTCCTTATAAAGACTAGATCACAGGACCTAGAATAGAATCAAACTCATTGGTCCAAGGAATAGAACACCCCCAGTAAACAAGCTTTCACTGAAACACCATGTTCTCACACATCCCTCCTGTCACAAGACCAGATGTTAACATCGTTATCAACTCTGTTTTCCTTCGAGCAGCCTGAGAAAACTCAGACTGCTCCTTTCCCTGGCTGGCCAGTATGCCACACACATCCTGACCTTTCCCCCTGCCAGGTACATCCCGGAGGGGATGCAGTGCTCCTGTGGGCCCGACTACTACACCCACAACCCCGACTTCCACAACGAGTCCTACGTGCTCTACATGTTCGTCATCCACTTCATCATCCCCGTCGTCATCATCTTCTTCTCCTACGGGCGCCTTGTTTGCAAAGTTCGGGAGGTAACGGCCGGAGGGGACTGATGGGGACAGGGCGGGGGGCTCAGGCAGGATGGGGGGTGTGGGTTGGGGATGGGAAGCTGCCCCTCACCACCCTCCGTGTCCACAGGCAGCTGCCCAGCAGCAGGAATCGGCCACGACGCAGAAGGCGGAGAAGGAGGTGACGCGGATGGTGATCCTCATGGTGCTGGGCTTCATGCTGGCCTGGACGCCCTACGCTGTGGTGGCGTTCTGGATCTTCACCAACAAGGGCGCCGACTTCACGGCCACGCTGATGGCAGTGCCTGCCTTCTTCTCCAAGAGCTCCTCCCTCTACAACCCCATCATCTACGTGCTCATGAACAAACAGGTGAGACTCCCCCAGGATGGGCAGCACCTCTGGGGGCTCCACGGGCGCCTCGCTCCCTCCCAGAAGGGTTTGGATCTCAGTCCCTGCAGGGACTCCTGGTCCTGCACCACGTCCCTGCTGGTCCCTCCAGTGCCACCATTCTCATTTCTCTCCCTTCCCCAGTTCCGTAACTGCATGATCACCACAATCTGCTGCGGCAAGAACCCCTTTGGGGATGAAGACACCTCCTCTACCGTGTCCCAGAGCAAGACCGAGGTCTCCTCTGTCTCCTCCAGCCAAGTATCACCCGCATAGAGCATGGACAGTTTGAACTGGGGTGACCTGCCGAGCTCGGGGACCCAGACAGACGCCCCACAGCCACTCCCTCGCGCCCCAGCCCCTCCCCTGCAGGAGAATTTAGCTGTGCCCGTCCTGCCATAGCACCCCCTGTGCAAAACCCACCCCACACTTCCATGGGGACCCACACGTGGCACTCTGAGCTCTGCCACTCCGAGCCCAGGGAGCCCTGCCCCAGCTCCTGGGAGCACTTCACCTCTGGGGGACTGTCCCTACCTGTCCCCTTCGAGTTCAAACAGTTTGGGGATCCCAAAACTTTTCATGCCTGAGTCCCGCCCCCCACCAGCATCGCCCTTCCTTGGGCTCCAGGGAGTGTCACAGGAGCACCCAGGCTTCATTTGCAAAAATCTAAATATTCTGGCGAAGCCCCAGGAGCAGGACTCTGTGGCTGGGGTGGCCTCACCTGCCCCTCACCAGGGCCTGAGCCCAGGGCTCTCTGGAGCCACGCTCCCGCCGGGATTCCCACCAGGAATCGATTCCTGCAGTCTCCATAAATCAATATAACAAACGGAGCCACGAGCGGGCTCCGCTCCCAGCCCAACTCCCTCTCTCCCCAAGACAACACTGTAGATATATTTTTTTTGTCTTGGAACCTGTAAATATTTGCTCACGTCCTTTGAAGTCTCCATCCCTCTCAGCCCTTTCCTTTCTTCTCCTTTTCCCGACTCCAAAGCAGAGAAATTCCCTTTCCACCTCTGCTGTGGCTGGACAGGCACGGCCAACCTTGGAGGGAGGGGCCAGGACCCGAGCGCTTTCCTGTACATATTTTATAAATAAATAATCTCATGTCAGCACAAGGATGTCTGCAGTCAAGGAGTAGGGATTTAAAAAAACTAAACAATAAACTGAAGCAGCACAGAGAAAACCACAGATGCTCAGTCCTTGTCCTTTCTCTTGGGCTCTGGGGACGAGATGCTGGTGGCCAGCTGGGGGAACACAATGCTGCTCTTGGGGACACAAGCCTGCAGCTGTCCCAAAAGCCATGGGAAGGGGGATCTATGGGTGACACCATCCCCACAAGGTGACAGCCCCATTAGCTGGGCATCAAAGGTGTTTAGAGTTAAAAAGAGACAGACAGGGCACAGCCCTCGCTGCCCGGCCACTGGTTTTTAATATTTAACATTTCCCCATGTAGCCTTAAATAAAGCTTCAGTGAGAGCTTCTCTCAGAGTTCAAATTCCCCTTCCTGTTGGGCTCTTCCAGGCAGCATGGTGACAGAATTGGCAGAGTCAGGGAAAAATTGTTCCCAGTGGCAGAGAATTCATTCTGGAGCGGCTGGAGAGCGACCCCGGTGCCATCACTGCCCGAACCTCCCCTCCCTGCTCAGCTCACACCTGCCCTCTCCCGTGTTTTTCCTGCTTTTTGAGTCCAAAGCCACTAAAACCAGGGGGAAGCCCCAGGCTCATCCCTGGCATGGGAAGGCAGGGATAAGGAAGCACTTTTTGCCCCAAAACACCAAGCCCTGGCAGGGGGAAGGATGCAGCCCCAGCCCCGGCTCTCCAGGCACTCTCCTGTCGCTGCACCCACCCAGATTCGGGGGTCCTGGCCAGGATTGCCCTGGAACAGCTCCCACACCACTCCTGCTGTGCTGAATAATTCACGGCCACTCTGCCCATCCCAGGAGCCTTTTTTCCTTCCCTACAAAGCCCCGAGCACGTTTTCTTTAGTTCCTTTAGAGGCACTAGAGCTGTTTTATAGCGAGCATCTGAACGTGTGGATGAGCCCTCAGCATCCCTTATCCCCCCCAAGACTCCAGAGTGAAAACTATTCCAGGAACAGAGCTCTGGACCCCCTGAACAGGCCTGGCTGTGTATCCCCCACGTTTGTGATTATTTTTAAATGCTGCAGCCCAGGGCTGCCGCCTTTTGCTGGAGTGCAGAATGCTGGGAGAATCCACCAGGAATCCAGAAGGAATTCACCAGGAATCCACCTAGAATTCACCAGGAATCCACAAGGCCCTGGGTGAGCATAAGAGCAGTCTGTAATCCCTGGCAGGGAGTTCTGGGGAGCCTGGGGGTGAGGGGCTGAGGCTTTGCAGACAAATTTTCATGGGTGGGAGAGGCAGGGAGCAGAGTCCAGCCCCGTGGTGCTGTGGCACATTCCAGCAGTGATTCCAGCA